TAAGCTTAGTGTCTGTTCACGTTTTGTGTGTAATTTGTGTGCTTTTCCCCAACTCCATTTCTGTTCTCTAATTGACTTCTTCCGTGCACATTTGCAGGAGAAAACCAGTGCCCTTAGTCTTAGCAACGTGGCTGGTGTCTTCTACATCCTCGTCGGGGGACTTGGTTTAGCCATGTTGGTGGCTTTGATTGAGTTCTGTTACAAGTCAAGAGCTGAAGCGAAGCGCATGAAGGTGGCAAAGAATGCACAGAATATTAACCCAACTTCCTCACAGAATTCACAGAATTTTGCAACTTATAAGGAAGGTTACAACGTATATGGAATCGAAAGTGTTAAAATTTAGGGGGTAGGAACGAGGCTTTAATCCAAATTTCTAAATGCACGCTGTCTAGTTTCATTGTTAGGTGCTTAAGCTATTAACTAAGAAAGTTGACTGAGAATTCATATTTATGCATTAGCACTGCATCCCCATATTTCTCTTGCTCATTCTCTTTTCCTCTCCTCTGCAACGAAAAGACTAAGCCTTTCCTTATTGTTACCAAATGTGGCAAATCTAAGTATGCTGAAATGTTTCTGATTACTTTTCCTATTAAATGTTTTTTGTATTGGCCAGAGGATTCCAAAAAATAACAAAAAAGTTTGAACTCAAGTCTTTTCAAAGCAATGGCAACATGAAAAAAAGAGAGAATTGTGACCTGTCTTGCTGAACAGAGGTAATGTCTCATTTTCTTTATCTCTCTTCCTTCCTTAAGATGATCTTGAACGATACCATGAAGAGCAAGGCAAGGCTGTCAATTACAGAAAGTGCTGGAGAAAATGGACATGTTGTGACTCCAGAATTTCCAAAAGCAGTGCATGCAGTACCTTACGTGAGTCCTGGCATGGGAATGAATGTCAGTGTGACTGATCTCTTGTGATTGATAAGAACCTTTTGAGTGCCTTACACAATGGTTTTCTTGTGCATTAATTGTCAAAGTGGTGAGAGGCCTCCAGTATCTCGAAGGCATTTTTGTCCGCCAAGAATGCATATTTGTGGAGTTCATCTTGAATAGTTACAAAATGCTTAGTACAAAAAAAGCCCCACAAGCATCATTTTCTACACCAGTTTAAGATAAAGTTTGACTGACATGCATAGCTAACATGGAAGTACTGTACTCTAACTGAAATTGTTGTACAGACAACACACCAGTTTCTGCAGTCGCCGTTGTCAGTTCTCTGATTCATAATGACTTAAGCACACTTGACATCAATTGCATCAAGATGTGACATGTTTTATAAGAAAAAAAAATTAAAATTAAAAAAAAATATTTTTAGGTATTTTCACAGACAAACTGGCTTTTAAATAAATTTGCTTCCATTATGGTTGATGAAACAAGAATTTAAACTCTGGAAAAATGGAAAATTAACAACAAACAAGATTTAGATATTAGTTCCTGTTTTTCAAAGCCAAATATGTAAATGCTGGGGAATAAAATACAAAAATAAACGTTCAAAAACATTGTAATTTAATATTGTTCTTAAAAATTTACTTAATATCTATTCTTTAACATTTGGTGTTAATATCAAATTACTTGCAAATGCTTGACATTTGAAATAAACTTTTTTCTATGGTTTTATTTGCAAGTGGTCCAGTTAATTTTGCTAGTTACAGTTTGATTATAAAGGATGTAAAATGTAAAAGGACATTGTCAAGGTTGTTGGGGAATGTTCAGCTACTCTTAATCTCTGTGATAAAATTGCTATATTTCATTTTGAACACTATCCTTGCCTAAAGTGTGGATATTTAAGTTTTATGGTTAAGTCTTTTCATATGATTTGTTGGTATGGCCCCTTACTCCCCAGCATAATGTCTTTGAATTTTGATGCACATTCCATTTCTGTATACATAAAATGACTGCCTACAGTTTATCTTGATTTAAAGTAGTTTGGGTCCTTTGAATCTATTCTGGAAGGATCTGAGAAAGGCCAACAGAGGCCAGAGACATTCTGCACTGAATCTAAAATGAGAAACTGAGATTAAGAATGTACAAGATAGAATTACAGTACTCTCCATATCGTAGAAAGATCTGTAGTTAGTATGACAGAAAGAGAGGTTGAATTTGACTCGTTTCTAAATTTTGCTGTTGATTTTTAAATCAAAAATAAATTTTCCAGAGATACGTATATAAAGTTTTGGCTAATTAATTTTCTTCTGGGGGAGGGGGAAAAAACCCTTGACAATGTTCCTTTATGTTCATTTTCATAATAACCCTAAGTTTTGAAATACAGTTCTGTATTTGTAATAATAAATGGATTTCAATGAATCATCTTTACAGTGAGTGCTTTTCTAGTATTGTTTTAAGTGAGTCGGCCCACCTTTTCATTAGAACAATTTTAGGTACAACAGGTCTACTGGAAAAAGAAATATTCTGTAAGAGTGGTGCTGCTATATTCCTGAAAATGCAACAAGAGCTATTATCATAACTTTGTATGACTTCAGCCTTTTGTTATAAATGGTGCAGATTTAACTAAAGAGCTTTTTTTTCTGGGATTGCCCTTCTCTTTTGATGTTCATTTATTTTAAAAATTATTATGAGAAATCCTGCACTGTAAATTTGTTACAAATTTTCTCCTCTCCCCCTCCTCCCCCCTCCTCCTTTTTCTTCTTTTGGTAAAAGCTTATAGGCCACATTCATACCCTGAAAGCCCACTGATTCTAAAACATCTTTCTGTCAAATTCCAGTGATGTTGCACCTTTTAATGGCAAACCGTCCATCTTTCAGGAGTGTGATGATACAATCTACAGCTGTCCTGTTCATACCTAAGCAGGAAAGTGAATATTTTCCAGCCCAGAAATGGTAAATTAAAAAAACATGTGCATATTACTCCCAACCAGTTTCCTTTTACAGAAAATATCATTTCACTCCTGCATTCAAAGGAAATCTATGTTGATTGTACCTTGGGCCTACTTCTCTTAAAATGTCATGTACAAATATTTCTTTGTCAAGCCTGAACTTATGTATATAAAGAAAATATTGTAAAATTATATTTTCATGTTTTTATACCTACCAATATGATGAGAATGCATACTGTATGGGTATTTCAATCTTCAAATTACCAATAATGTTGATTGGATAATACACATCTCATTTTTAAAACAAGTTAATCATAATTTAATATCCATGTTACAATACAGCAGTATATATTGCTATATAAGTATTCTGTGTGCATTTAAGTGGAAAAAATAGTGATGAATGATGACAGCTGTCTAAGGTTTTTTAAAGTTCATTTTATAGAGAACTCTTATGGAACAACCAAAATGTTTGTGGGCTAATTCTTGTGTAAATTTCAAAATGTCCTTTATTGTACCCTTTTGTTTATACAGTATGGTATTTTGATTTCTGCTTTGTTAAGTGGGTATCAGTACAAAGCTGGTCATACACTTTTAAAGGCTTCTAAAGCCAGGATCATTTCTAGTTTTTCATGTGTACTTATATGAAAAAAAAAATTGCTTCTGATTTTATTTTTGAATCCAACACATGATGGCTTTTCTGAAGTGTTGTACAAATTTCAATCATATATAAACTTCATTCTTTTTTAAAAAGGCAAATAATTATTAAGTGATTTATTTAGTATTATTTATATTTGGTTTTGACCTTTGATAAGTTTAATTAAAAAAGAATTAAAACTGCTACTAAAAGAAAAGGGATTTTGTCCTGAAGGGGTTTTTTGCCAGTGGCAAAATAAGACCTAATTTGGCAGACAAAAGTAGATTGTTGTAGGTATTCTACAGCAACAAATAAGTAGAAATGGGGTAAGAATTTATCCAGTTATCATATGTGCTCCATAAATATAGAAGAAAATGCCTCTAAACTGTACTGGTACATTAAGTAGAGCTTTAGCCAGACAAGAAACCTGTGTAGATTTGTTGGGGGGGGGGGGATTCTAAATGTCTAAAAACATTTCTGTTAGATTTACAGATTTCAAACACACAGTTTCAATTTGCATGCCACTTTTTGACAGACTGAAGAGATGTTTTATCCTCAAATGAAGAAAAGTGATGTCAGTTCCAGGAAGAAATTAGGATGTTATTAACTCAGCTGCAAAAAATGATATTGCTCATTCTTTCCCTCTTTCCACTGTATGGAAAGAGACATACAAGCAATGACATTTATAATTAGACAAGTAATTTTCTTCTCTTCATCAGGATATATAAGCAAGGGCTCCTTGTGTCATTGTTAAATTCAATCAGCTAATATTTTGTGGTCAATTAAGTTAATGATAAGCAAGAATGTTTGGTCTACACATATTGTCCAAACTAACAAGCTCTGAGACGAAGCTTGGGTAAATTTCATTTCCCACTGAATTGTTTCTAGGTGCCCATCAATGAACTTTAGAACTATTGTCTACCTAAATAATAGAATCCAACAGGTCCTGTCGGGACTTGCACAAGACATTTTATTGCTTGAAGCAAAGCAGCAATAGTAGCCTTCAAGCACACACCGTCATGGATACCAAATATTCCACAGGCATTCATAATTCTCCCTGCCAGTGAAAAGACAATAATAATACATTCATAAACAATGTGTTGCCTTTTCATGACACCAAAAATCTGATACAATTGTTCTTTCACCTTCCTTCATGCTCCTGTTTCACATTACACCCAGAAATAAATCACGATCTCCAACAGAACATGAACCTCATGACTTCAGTTTGGGCAAAGCTGTGACCGTGATAAAGTAATGATCATTAGATAGCTCTTTATAAACCTTTGCGTATAACTTCTTCTGGTTATTTTTTGAAGTATTATGGCAGTGTCTAGGCAAGAATCCCTTCCAATAGGATGTTTCCTGACTATATGACAAACATTTATTTCAATCTAAGGCTTTCCTAGCTCCCAGCCAAAACTATTATTTGAACTAAGACTTGCCACAGTCAGTGTAGTGCTACGCTAGAGTAAGCAGAATAACATTTCATCCTGTGCTGAACTTGAAGATGATGAATTTTTTATTCCTATTAAAGGCCAACAACTTTAAATACAGTACAAATATTCAAAAGTCCAGGCAATAAGGAATGTGTATTAAAATATATAGTAGCAGATAACTTAGAAGTAGCCAGAGGTTGTTTAGTTGCAAATGTGAACAAAGATTAGCCTGGGTCATAATCTAGTAATGGCCACCATGGCGATATTCTCTAGAGGGACAAAGGTTAAGAACATTTGATAGTCACAAGATCAAGGCAGCTTAAGAATATCGGTTTGGACTATCACTTTCCAGATTGGAGAAGGCTTCTGAGTGTATTAATACAGTACATCTAAGTCAGATAAATTTGGGAAGGCCTGTTTAAGAGGAAAAAAGTGAATATAAATTAAATTGAATAATTAGTGCCATGAATTATGGTAACTTCATTAAGCATGAATGATTTTTCATCATTGGAAACTGATTGAGAAATGCCAATGTTGTGATCTTACCATTAAGATAAAATGTACACATTACACATAGACAAGGAAGGCCAGCTTGAGAATATCATTGTAGTAAGGAACTTATTTTATAGAAAAATGCAAGTTAGAGGTACAGAATAAGAAATGCAAAACTTCCCTTCTATTTTCCTCTCCTATCTGAAATTGCCAGAAGAGAGCACCATTCTTATGTGCCGGCTCATGTTCTTTGGCTGTCTTCACTCAGTGAAGTGAGGTGGTTGGCTAAAAGGAAAAAGTTCTTCTTAGTTGTGGGACCCACTGAGAGAATGCCCTCCCCAGAGTGGGATGCCTGGTGCCCTGGTTAATATATTTTCAGCATCAGGGAGACATTCATATTCTGCCAAGCATTTTTAGAGCTTTGCACTCAATTTAAGTACCCATTCTACACAAGAATAGTAGAATTGATGTTTCCTACACTACTTATTAATTGTAGTTTTAACCATGGTTTATTCTTTTTGCTGCTGAATTTCAGGTGCAATTTTAGACAATGGGGTGGGCTTAAATAGGAATGGGAATGATTTTCCTTCATTAATCCTCAAATTTCTATTATTATCTTAAGTTCTCCACTAAACCAAGAGAAACACATGAGCAGGTAGCCTTTTTGGACCCTTCAGAAAATAAACTCAGTTACAG